AATCAGCAGGGAAAGGCTAGTATCCATGGGAGCCATGGTGAGTGGCGGTCGTGGTCCCACCTGTGCCTCAGAGGTTCTAGATACACGTGCAGATAGAGACATAGGGCTGTCAAGACTGAGAAAGCAGCCCAGTGGAGCAGGAGGAGTTCAAACATCGTGCTGAGGCCCTCCGCTCCAGCACAGAGCTTCAGGATGCAGTGGGTGGAGATTATCTGTATTTCCCTCCAACTGCGGAAGTGGGCTGTTGGACTCACCATTGTATAAGGGATGGTTGGAACCAGGACCAGTAAGGAGAGTCTTCTTGTGTGTCTACTCAGTGCACGTGTGTACACAGGCAGCCCCAAATCTGGTGCCTCTTAGTCTGAGACTTTCCCCCAGGATTTGTGTCCCTTTTACTCATTTTTTCCCTCATTGCCTGACAAGTTGGTCGAAGAATGCAGTTAGCCAAATGGGCCATTCTGCCTCCTGGGAATTGCCGAGGATGAACCTAAGCTAAGGACTGGCAGAGCTTCAGGGGGCAGAACAGAAACTCCTGGAGAAGGACCTGCCTGCGTCCTGTGCTCCCAGAACTGGGAAGGTCTCCTGCTTCCTCCCGGTCTCTGATCTGCCCCAGGGCCCTTCCAATGGACCCTCTTCTGCGTTTCCTTTGTCAGACTCCGTTTCTGTTGGTTGTAACCCAAGGACTCTCAGGTGACACAGCTGTGGCCTGGGAACTGCATCAGATGCACAGGGAGTGCAGTGGGATTGAGCTGTGAGGGTTCAGGGGGAAGGGGATCGATCCAAAATGACTCAAAGCCCCAGTGCCTGAAACACGGCCCATGTGATGTCCAGGAGAGACTGTGAATTCTGTAAGGACTGGTGAAGAATTGATGAAGCAATGAACCTCATGCTTACAGTGGTCAGGCAAGCAGGTGGCCGTGACTGCTGACTTCTTCAGGAAGGAGTGGAAGGTTTGATGGAGGCCCCAGGGAAACACTGGCCGATGGGGAGGCAAATGGTTGGAGAAAAGGTTTCTGCTAGTTTGTTTTTACAAAAGACACAGAAGGCAGTGAAGCACAAGGTGGGTGACTGAGATGTCCCGGATCTTTCTCATGTGTCTCTGGCTTCCAGCTTGGGGCTCCAGGTGTGGGAGCTTGTGTGGCCCTTACGCGCTCCTCCCATGGGAACACAGAGAGTCCGTGCCCAGTAGAGCAGGCCCGGGTCCTGGGGGAGAGCAGCACTCAGATGCTTCCTTCTTTCCTCCCTGGAGAGGGTGAATCTGAGGCCACTCCCCACAGGCTCCTCAGTAGGTCCTGGCAGACTCCATCCCCCACATGGGTGACAAAATCTAGAGCACTGCCTTGTGTTGACTTTCCCTCCTCCCCTGTTTCACTTCCTCAGCCCCACCACGTCCTGCTCCCAGGGATCTCGTAGGCCTGGCCTCCAGCTCTGCAGTCATCTGAACTCAGGATACATGGTGACTCTGGGCTGCACACAGGCTTTGAGCTTTTGTGTTGAGTGTAACGAGAAGCCGTTGAAGAGTAGGAAGTAGCTGCTTGCTAAGATCTCTCTTCTTAAGGGTCATTGGAGCCCACTGTGGGAAGTAGATGGAGGGCAGGGCCAGGGCCACCGGGATAAACACAGCATGACCCTTTCTTGAAGCTCTTGCAGGAGTCTGAGTGAAACGTGAAGGTAGCTTCGGGGAGGCTGTGTGCTGTCTGGCTGTCTCTCTCTGCCTCTCTGTTCAGGGCTGACGCGGTCTCCTACCTACAAAGAAGCCCTTCTGATCCAAAGCAGCCTGTGTGCCATGTATCAGTCCTGGGCCCCAGGCACTGGAGGGGAACATACCTGAGCTCAGCCCATGCCAGACATGAATGTGCTACCCCCAGGGGTTCCTGTGGGGCCTGTGAGAACCAGGGTCTGAGGGAAATGACTGGATGTGTGAGTGAGAGCCCAGAAGGCAAGCAGGAGGAGTGATGGAGGATTTGCTCCCTGAAATCCTGGAAGACAGGCCACTAAGGAAAGACAGTGAGGCACTCAGAGACCAGCTGGGCACGACAATGAACAAAGAAAGGCTGAGTGAATCAGTGAGTATTTATTGATCCAAGAGCTATAGAACAGAAGGTGGGGACAGCCAGAGGCATCTCACGTATCTTGTCGTGCACCACCCCCAGCTGATGAAGAAACTGCAGCTCAGGGAGGCTGAGCCTCTTGTCCCCAAGCTAGTTGACCTCCTGGACACATCCCAAAGCTCCTTGTCCAGTTACTGGCATCTGGATTCATTTTTCTTTCCTTCTTTCTTTTATTTTGTTTTGTTTGGTTTGCTTCGATTTTTCATATCAACCTCTATTCCAACACAGCATTTGATGTTTCACAGGAACTTCATTGGTCTCTCAGTGCACCCTGGTCCCAAAGGGCACCTGGCAACTTGACAAATACTCCACCTTCTGGGGTGTCGTCACCACCATCATCATCATCATACTGAAGACATCACTGCCCAATACAGATAAACCTGCTGGAAGTCATAAGGAATTTGTTACGGAAACTATACGCCAGACAAATAACCAGCCGAACTCGGAGGGATGGAGTACGCAGATGTATTATGCTGGTGGGATCAGAAGGGCTTCTGCTCTGATACTCTGAGGACCTGCAAGACTTGTGCATGAGGTTTTATAGGGTTAATTACAAGCTTGGGGTATCAGCCAATAGGCCTGGAACAGCATTAGTAGCATCATTATCACAGAGCAGAGGCAGGGAGGCAGCAAACCAACATTCCAAGGCCAGATATGTCTCTCTGAAAATCCAGCTGGCTAACAAAAAATACATGAGCA